ATATAAAACTCTTACGTTTATTAAGGAATCTGCGTGAAATAGGCATGGTTCTGAGATGAATGCTGCGGTTTTCGAGTTTGACGAGCGATGAAAACTGCCACTTTTATACAACTACAAATATCTTCGGTTTTACTTAAAATATTTGTCTGGTAGAGGTTTTACATATAGATCGTGTTTCTGTCTTTCTTCTGACTAATAAATAATTTTGGTTTAATCAGTTATCAAGATGTTTTCAACAATATTCTTTCATCGTTCGTCTTTTCCAACTTGGGCGACCCTTTTGGAAGCGCGATACTTGGGTTAACCCATCCTATAGTTGGGTCTGTTTCCAACTGGGGTTCGAATATAGCCAGACAATCCCCATTGTCGTCCCCGTTCTTCACCTTTACTCTCCTTACAGTGTCAGATTAGTGATATTGTAGAACACTTCGCACATTTGCTTCTTCAACACAATCTATTATGTCTAAGGGAAACACAAATAAAAGTTTGTTAGGGTTTAAATAGTATTAACTTTTTATAAGTTTGCTGTGATCAGTGCTGTTTCCAACATGACGGTATTATTATATTTCTTTTGTGATTATATATAAATACAATTTGTAAGCACAGCTGGCTAGGCCAGTGTGTCAGCAACACAACAGTTTATTACATGACGAATCTCAAGAGTGTATTTTGTTCCGCTAGGATCCAAGGCCGTGAGAACCAACTGTCTCTAGGTGACTGTATAATTGGCCAATTACAAAAAAGTAGATTGCGTCCTTGTGGGAACAGATTACTACAATGTCAAATTAACTGCGAGGACGTATGCGGAAGTGTGTGGAAAATGTGTGCGTGTTCTCGCCTAATTGTGCTTGCGGGGGTTGAGCTTCAGCTCTTTAATCCCCTCTCAACTGTCAATCAATCAGTGTACAGATTCCCGAGCCTATTGGGCTCTGTCATATCGACATTTGAAACTGTATGGAGTCTGCCTCCACCAAATCATTTCATAATGCTTTCAATTTGTTATGTCAATTTCTAATGTCTTTATGGCTCATTTGGGAGCTCAATTTTCACCTGTGTCCCCTCGTGTGTGTGCTCCCCATGTTAAATAAACTGTCTTTATCTACCCTATTAATTCCTCTGAGAATCTTGCATGTGGTGATCATGTCTCCCCTAATTCTTGTGTTTTCCAGCGACATGAGGTTTAGTTCCTGTAGTCTCTCCTCGTAGCTCATACCCCTCAGCTCGGGTACTAGTCTGGTGGCATACCTCTGAACCTTCTCCAATTTTGTCTTGTGTAATTACCTGGATATAGTTACAGGATGTGAGCTACACTCATACTGTCCCATCTTCCCAGTACTCTTTGTCGTAAGTAAGTAATTATCAAAAGAAGGCACCAAACCGGGAAGGCTTTGTAGCACCATCAAATGTGCGGGATAATCAGAGGGCGCTAAATATCACCAAGGATGCCAATACAAGAACAGAAACGCATAAGGCGAACGATATCAAAAGTATCCGAGTCACCAAGAATACTATCGAAGGACAAGCGACCACGGGGGACGGTCAGATTCAGATTCAGATTCAGATTCAGATGTTTATTCAGGAAAGGTATATACATACAAGTGATGTTACATTAATGGATTGATATATAGATAGAGCTAGTACATACAATGCCTAAAGCCACTATTACGCAATGCGTTTCGGGCAAGAAAAACATTAATATCTAGAACTTAATACTAATTGAGCATAAAGAATAAAAGATGTTGAGAACAAATACAAATAAAGATAAAAAAAAAGGGGGAACATGACTGAAAAAGCAGCACAAATACAATAGGTTGACAAACAGTGTTGATTAAAAAAAAAAAGAAAAAAAAAGAAAATAACAGACATGGGTTGACAATAGAGGAGTGAGGTAGATTACAGGGAATTTATTAGGTAGTGTTTAGTTTTAATCTTAAACTGGTTGAGAGAGGTACAGTCTTTAACATGGTTGGGAAGGTCATTCCACATTCTGGGCCCCTTGATTTGCAGAGCATTTCTAGTTTGATTAAGACGTACTCTAGGAATATCAAAACTGTATTTATTTCTGGTGTGGTGCTCATGGGTTCTGTTACAACCTTCTATGAAGCTTTTAAGATCAGGATTGGCATTATAGTTTAGCGTTTTATATATGTATAATACACATGAGAGAATGTGCAGTGACTTAATATCTAACATATTAAGAGATTTGAGTAGGGGTACCGAGTGATGTCTGGGGCCAGAGTTGGATATTGTTCTAATAGCGGCTTTGTGTTGGGTAATTAGAGGACGTAAGTGATTTTGGGTAGTAGAACCCCAAGCACAAATACCATAGTTGAGATAAGGATAGATAAGGGAGTAATAGAGAGTCACCAGAGCAGGGCGTGGTACATAATATCTGATCTTAGAAAGAATGCCCACAGTTTTTGAAACTTTTTTTGATATATTTAGAATGTGTCCCTGGAAATTCAGCTTGTGGTCAATGAGAATGCCAAGGAATTTGCCATCTAATTTGTTACAAATTTGGGTATTGTTTATTTTGAGATTTATAAGACTAGAGGATTTATTGCCAAACAGAATATAGAAGGTTTTGTCAATGTTAAGGGTGGTCGGAAAACAAGACACGCTCGTCCCGGAAGTCAGGACATTCAACAAGAATATACACGACCATAAGAGGGACAATGCAATTAGGACAATAAGGAGCAGGGCGGTGCTCCATCAAGTGACCATGAGTTAAGCGAGTATGGCCAATACGCAACCTCGCCAGAGCCGTTTTCCATCGCCGGTTACGGTGGTAGGAGGACGGCTACGAGGACACACAACTTTTAAGTGCGCGCAGTTTGTTACCAGTAACAGACGACCAACAAGCCTGCCAACGGGTAAGGATGGAGGAATGGAATACCGGGTAAAACGGAATAAGGAATACCTTTACGAGAGATGGGATGAGCGCACAGCTTCTCTGGCGGCAGCATCTGCATGCTCATTTAAAGAAATGCCAATATGGCTGGGAACCTAACAAAACTTAACTGACTTAAATGAGTTGGCGAGGTTGGACCGGCGGCTGCGACACGCCACTCGTGGCTGGCTGCGGCTGCCCCATGACACCCCCAACGCCTTTATCCACGCCGACGTCAAGGACGGTGGACTAGGGATACCCGACTTTGCCACATCGATCCGGCTACAAAAGAACAAGCGGCTCGGGGCGCTGACCGGATCAGCGGACCCAGTGGTGGTGGCAGCGGCTCTCCTACCCGCATTCCAAGCGAGAATGCGCCGGTGGGTAGACCCGACCACGGCCGCTGGAACGCCATCCAGCAGGACGACCGAGTGCGCTAGAAGATGGAAGGCAAAACTGTACAGCATGGTCGACGGCGCCGGCCTCGCTTCCTCTTGTGAGGTCCCATCCTGTCACAAGTGGGTTGCGTCCGGTACCCGTTTGCTAAGCGGGGGAGATTTTGCCCACGCCGTCCAAATTAGGGCAAACGCTGTAGCCACGCCGTCTAGGGCGGCTAGGGGTAGACCCGAGGCTTCTGGTCTCTGTGACGCTTGTCGGAAACCAGGAACCCTGGGCCACATATCCCAGGCCTGCCATAAGACACACGGGCTCGGGTGAAACGTCACGACGACATCACCCGGTTCGTAGCTGGCCGATTGCGGCAAAGAGGCTTTGAGGTGGAGCGCGAGGTCCGTATACCAGACGGAGGGACCTTCTGCAAGCCAGATATTATAGCTTGCAAAGGTGACGAGGCCTTCATATTAGACACCCAGGTCTCAGCTGATAACTTCCCACTCTCCCGTCCACATCAGAGCAAGTGCGACAAATACGGCACCCCCGAGATCCTGCAGAAGGTCCGGGAGTATACCGGTAAGCCTACAGTATCCGCCTCCTCAATAACCCTTAATTGGAGAGGTGGATGGTGCAAGGAGAGTGCGCGTGGTCTACAAGGTATGGGTCTCACCAAGAGCGATCTCGAGATTTGCTCCGTGAAGGCCCTGACCTGGACGTATTCTATATACAGAATATGGTCCAAGGCCACGTCAAGGGGCAGGCCCCCCTAGCCCCGGGGTCACTGTGCACAGGGTGCATAAGGGTAACTATAGTCACGCTTAGGTGAACCGCAGCCAAGTCAGCTGGTAGCCAACTATCTAAGCAGTTTCGTCATCTGGAGTACCACTTCTCCTAATGGCGTCTCACAAGAGGGTGGATGACCTGGCAGAGCCCGCGAGTAGATAAGGCGGCGTCCGGAGGGACCCCATGCGCATACATGATAACCCTCCCGCTCCGGGGCCGAGTTAGGAGCATCCACTGTGTCTAGTTTTCCATGTATGCCGACGTCAAATCATCATCCCTGCCGATTGGGCAGCCTGCTGCTTTGGCCTTCAGCGTTTGTTTGTTCTTTTTTTACATGTTATACTGTGCACCCCTACCTATGTGTGCTGTGTCCCATATAGAAAAAACCAAATACAAAAGAATTTTCCATTAATTACTGTGAACAAGAAACAGCCAATGCTGGATCTCGACAACCACTGGATGAACTGGATTAAAGGACCCGAGAGCCATGAGGGCACTACGAGAGCCGACTGGTAATCTCAAACTTTTCTAGTTGTGCCTGGGTTAACTATTCCCTCTCTTATCTTTGGAACTACTACTTGCTCTAATGTGAAGACCTCCTGGAATTTCTTATTCAGTTCCTCGCACACTTCATTGTCATTTGTAGTGAATCTGTCTGCCCCTATCCTCAATTTCATTACCCATTCCTTTACTGTTGTTTTTCTCCTGATGTGGCTGTGCAGCAATCATGTGTAATTACCTAAGTGTAGTTACAGGATGAGAGCTACGCTCGTGGTGTGACCATGTGTGGTGTGTGTTTGTGTGTGCATGTGTGTTGTGTGGGATGTATTGAGTAGTTGGATGTTGTGTGGTGAAACATTAGAGACTCAGTCAGGGAACATAATGTATCAAACTTGTAAGCTGATAAGCCACTAGCTGATAAGTTGATAAAAGCAGCACAGCTTCAATGATAGTGCATATCTTAAGTAGTCTGTAACCAGCGTTGGCAAAGTTGGAGCACTGCGAGAGGTACATTACTTTCAAGGCTTGGGTGAGTTAAAGGACGTCTCTGCAAAAGCACTGCGACTGATAATTTAATCCAAAGTGAAGGCATGTAGTGTAACGGTTTCCCATAGAAAACAAAATTTACTCAATAAACGAGAACTGAACATTACACTTCTAGCAAAAATTAATGACATTGGTTTTCCGTTGTAGGGGGCAGATAACCTGTACTTAAACTTATCTAGGCCCGCTTGGCCAAATATGTACTTGGGAGCTATACAACTGTTGTGGGTTGTATCATGGGAAAGATCAGTCACTTGGCTAGTGGGATCTTGACAAGCCTAACAGCCATCCTGTCACAAACAATGGTAAACCAATTCCATACAGTACTAGCTACTTCTAATCAAGGTGACTAGAGAAGCCTTGCTAAGAGAGCAGTGGAGGAGATCCATCGAGGGGCCCTTGAGGTCACAATGTACATGGGATCCTGAGAGGTCACAAGGTCTGGATTAATAACCAATTGTTAACAACATAAGATACAATATAACATTATTGTGATCATTGTGTGTTAATGTTAAACTGTTATCTACTAATATTAATTTAAGTATGCATGTTTTAGTGAATTCCAGTGGGGCCTAGCAAGCAGGCTAGCATTAATAATAAAGTAATATAATAATACTGTAATTCATTGTGTCAGGGGACAGGAGGCCAGGGTGTGTTCATACACGTTAGGCTTATATCGAGGTTCCTTCCCCCCCCCCCCAAGGTCGGATTACTGACCTCACCAAGGATGCACCCCTACAACAAGCTAACTCCTGAGTACCTATGCTTACTGCTAGATGAACAAGTACATTAGCTGAAAGGAAATGTGCCCAACCATTTCTGTCCCACCCGGGATTCGAACCCGGAATTCTCGATTGTGTGTTGAGAACGAATCTACTACCGGGACCCTATTAAGCATAGCCTTGTAAACGAGAGACTATTATGTGGCATTACACCCACCATCAGGAGTCATAGGTTACTTGTATATGGTTTTACACATTGCCAGGTTGTCAGAGGTTACCTGTAAGTGGCTTTACAACCTCTCCTCCCATCATGGGCTCATAGGTCTCATGTAGGTGGCCTTACACCCTCTGCCAGGGGGTCACTGCAAACATTATTGGTCTTGTGCTCATTGCAAGGCTTGCCCTTAGATTGGGTCTAGCATAAAGAAGCACAAGGCTTCCTATCTAAGGCTGACTGTGGTTCTAGGTACTGTTGCTTTAATACAACCAATGAGTAGTAGTCTGATTAGAGGACTTAGCACACCAAACTATGATGACTTTTGTAAGTGTTGTTAGTACCAGAAAGGAAAATATTATACTCCTAAGTCACACCTTAAGATTGAGGAGTACAATATTCCAGATCTAGGAACATATTTTAAGTCGAGGTGAAGTTTAACAGTATGCTCAAAAACTGTTGAACAATGAATGACTTGATGAATATTGTCACAAATGAAGTGATAAGCAGTGCAAATGAACAGTTGATGACAGGGGCCTGTGATGAAATGTGCATTAGGAGTTGCACTTCCAATGTGGTGAAAAGCTGAGCATAAACCCCCTCTCATTATTCCAGCTATCAGTAAAAGCATAAACAACCTTAGTGTCAAGATACAATGAACATAATTACACAAGCAACCAGTACACGAAGTGAATCATAAACACTACCATAAGAGTGCTAATAACCAAGTCATATGCACTTGTTACAAACTGAAGCAATATTAAAAAAATATTTTGGTCGCATAAAATTACTTTTCAGCAAGATTAATGGAGAAAAGAGAGGAAATGATCTGGTCTTGTGGTAGCTGGATGGTGATGATGATGATGATGGTGGTGGTGGGTAATGGGAAAGCAGAGATGATGGTGGCCCCAGAGTCCCCCTTCTGCACACAGCACGTAACCTTCCTTACCTGTGACTTCAAGGGAGCAGACGAGGTATGCAAGATAGTGGTACTCTTCTGTTGGCACGTGAACGTACACGCATATGTACGTTCACGTGCCGTTCACGCATTTTTTTTTTCACGTGTACGTTCACGCATTTTTGTCAACTACCATTCAAGCTGTCATTGCAACCAATCTTATATTGTTTCTGCTGTATTGTGCCTACCAATTTTTTGTCAACTACCATTCAAGCTGTCATTGCAATCAATCTCAGCTACCTATGTGCTTTAATATACTGTACCTACAATTTTCTCTCATCTTTTTTTCATTTCATGTAATCTGTTATCATTTTTTTGTCTATAATTTTTGCAAGTATTTACCTCCTTAAAATTTTCTTAGATTAAGGACCTGCCCGAAACGCTGCACGTGCTAGTGGCTTTACAAGACTGTAATTACCATATTTGTATCCTCACATTCCTTATGTACATTCTTGTATATGCATAAATAAAATAAAATAAAATGTGTGTGTGTGTGTGTTACCCCAAGTGTAAAAACAAGATGAGAACTAAGCTTGTTGTCCCAGCTCCCCAATACTCTTTGTCATATGACTCTTTGAAACTGCTAATGGTTTTGACCTTCACCTTTTCATGTAAATTGTTCTATCTACAACTCTATGTTGAGAGTGAGTAAGTGTCTGTGTGTAATTACCTAAGTGCAGTTACAGGATGAGAGCTATGCTTGTGATGTCCCATTTTCCCAGTACTTTTTGTCATGTAATGCTTTTGAAACTGATGGGTTTGGCCTCCTCCATCACCTCACTTAGCTTGTTCTAACAGTCTACCACTTGTAATCACAAAACATCAATTCGTAGTCAAGTCTTAACCAGTATGACACAAAGCATTAGAGTGAGGCAAGGTCGAGGCTGAAGCTGACAAATAATAATAATAATAATAATAATAATAATAATAATAATAATGTTTAGGCAAGAGTATATACATAAAAGATACATGAACAGTGGAGGATTCATAAATAACATAAATACAGTACTTAAAGCCACAAAACACAGCATTTCAGGCATCCAAATCCCATTTAGACAGTGTTAGAGAAGATTGCACAGCAAATGGAGAAGTAAGTAATTATCAAAAGAAGGCACCAACCCAGAGCTGCTATGTAGCACCGTCAAATGTGTGAGATATTCAAAAGGTGCTAAATATTACTAAGGATGCCAATACGAGTACAAAAGGGCATGAGGTGAACAACATCAAAGGTATCCGATTCACCAAGGATTCTATTGAGGGACAGGTGACCGCGAGGGACAGTCGGGAAACAAGACGCATGCACATCCTAGAAGTCAGGACATTCAACAAGGATATGAACGACCATAAGAGTGACAATGCAGTTTGGACAATAAGGAGCAGGGCGGCACTCCATTACGTGCCTATGAGTTAAACGAGTATTACCAACATGTAACCTTGCGAGAGCCATTTCCCACCACCTGTTACGTTGGTAGGAAGAAGGCCATGAGGACATGCTACCCTTAAGAGCACGCAGCTTGTTACCAGTAATAGAAGACCAGCAATCCTGCCAATGGGTCCAAATTGAGGAATGAATAACTGGGTAGAACTCAAAATAAGGAGCACCTTTGCGAGAAATGGGACAAGTGCGGATGGCCTCCTTCGTGGCAGCATCCACACGCTTATTTAATTTAATTAAGGACACGCCAATATGGTTGGGAACCAGCAAAACTCAACTGTCTTAAATATGCTGTTGATAAGAAACAGCAATATTGAATTTCGATGACCACAGGATTAAAGGACACCAGAGCCATGAGGGCACTGCGAGAGTCAAGCACAACAACAAAGGAAGAATGGTAGAAGGAAGGAAGTACTGAATGATGACCAAGACAGATGGGTATCAAAGATCTACCCCAAGAGTTTATTAGTCTTATTTAAAATTGAAAGCCATTTTTATGTAAACTTACCTATTTCTAAATGCACAAACATTTATGAATTAAGCTTTTGATTTTAATTTTGACTCGATTTAATTGAGGTGTCAAGGTGGAAGGAGGATAAGAAGGGTTCCTAGTAAAAGACAAAGCACAAGTTTTTATAGTAGAGACTAAAAGCCTGGTAGCCAAAGACAACTTGATTGCAATCTGGAGCCAGTGTCGACTAGCGTGCCACAGCGCCAAAACTGTGGTCTATTATAAATATGATTCTCCTTAGCGTTGGAAACAGCTGCAGCATTTATTTTCTCCACAGCATTGGATAAACCACCTTATTACTGAATTTTATTTAATTAAAAAATAATCTGCTGTGTTTCCTAACAAAGCAAAATGCTGTATTGTAATTTCTCATTTGGTTTTCTTCAGACTGTAGTACTTGATGACGTGAAACCAGTGACAGGGAAAGAAGTCAATAGGATATTCGTGCACAATGTTCAAGAATTGATAATTATAGGAAACGTGTGTGTTCATCTGGCCATTTACAACGTGGCCAGTGTAAACTTCAGCACCACCATCACCTGTCAACAACCTGATCTCTCACTCAAGTTGGAGAACTCGGCAACAAACCTGGTACCTGGCTACATTGCCCACCTAAATCTAGTGGGGTCATCTGCCCAAAAAGTTGTCTGTCACAATGATCTTAAGTTCCTTTCTGTAATGAACTCAAATTTGGGAGTGCTAAATATTATTCGTCCTCTACATGATGTCACTGTTAAATTTGAAGATTCTGTGATTGATGTTCTAGCAGGGTTGAAATTACAAAGCAAGTCACAGTTATTAATGATAAATGTAACCATTAATACATTAGGCAAGAATAGCATACATCTGCTGGAAGCATCAGCAAATATATGGATTAGCAATGTTAGATCATCACTTGATCAAGCAATAACACTTGGTCCCAAATCCACCTTGTCCATAAAAGATGTTTATGGCAAAGTAACTTTTGCTGGATCACACGATATTAATGATAAAATAGCATTAGTTGAACCACAGGATCAAAATAGCAAAGTGTCATCTAGAGGACAACGTGGCGTGTTACCACAACCCTCACACAATGATCACTCCCCTTATCGGCAATGCAGTAACTACTCCCACCTCATGTGGTTCCTGCCCTCCCTGTTGGCTTTAGCAGAGGCATTCATTATTATTATCAACTGTACTAACTGGTTCCCAGATCTCAAGAGTAGACGCCATAGGCAGGGGGTGGAGGAGGGTGCTCGTGGCGTGGTTACTAACAAAGGAGAAGGGGTAAGCTATCCTGACTCTGCTTGCTACTTCAACAGTGAGACAGCGGTTCCATTGCAAGGCAACATACGACAAAGAGTGAACGAAAAAAATGTTTAAGGCTGCTCTGGAGTGATGTTCTATGCTCATCCTATCACAATTCTCATGTTCTCATAGTAGGTTACTTTACTTCATAATGAAAACTATTGTCATGTACTGTATGTCTGTTTAGTTTCATTACAGAATGTATGCACTTTCAAGGAAAGTGCAAAGATATTTGTATAAAAAACAGAAATCAATATAATATGCAAGATATAGATTATTTATATTTACCGTAAGCTAAAGATTCAAGAGCCTTCTTGTATTGTTGTTTGTGGCAGACAACAATTATTGCGCATGAAAAATTATTAGTATTGAAGAATTCCTTTTAGATACATGTGTGTTTGATTTAATTTCAAACATGGAACAAAATTTCATGACGGTATATGAAAGATTGACAAATAAAAACATAATGCATGCAGCAACACATAATTTCATGATGGGGGGGAAAAAAAAAAAAAGAGTAGCAAATCAGCTGTGACAAGTCTGAACAAATTATTTAGCACTGTACAGTACTTATTAAATTCAAAGTTAATCGAAATAAATCTCAACACTAAAGTGAACAAATACCTTCACGTCAAAAATTGTATACAGTATTACTTTTCTGAATAATTTCTTTAACAGTGATTATGTTAGTAATAAATATAATACAATTGCCTGATGTTTTGGTTCACCCTCTACCATGTTAGTTATGATCTGCACTTCTCGGTTTCCAGAATACAAGTTAACCTAGTAATTCACCTCAATATTAATTAATAAAATTAACCTGATTAGTGCTTAAAATAAACATGTTATAAATAGAAAAATAACCTGAGTAATGATTAGAGAAACTAATTAATGAGTAGTTTAATCCTGTTTAATGAATACAATTAACTTTGCATCATGAGTCAATGTTACTATAGTGGATTGTCAGTCAAGCAAGACAGTAACTTATTTATCAAAGTTCTCTATCATATTTATGCTATTCTGTGCTACACTAAGCCTACCACTGGAGGTGGGTTATAATACCAGCACAGACCGACTTGATTTAAACAATTTTCCACTTATCAAAAGTCAAAAACAATTATAATGCTGAAAATATATATTGAAAAATAGTTCTGGTCAAGAAATAATGCTGGAAATATCCTCCAATACTTTAAAATATGTTTCTAAAGTTAATTGCAAACCTTGCCCACAGAATATGCTAGAATCAATTTCGGTAAACAGAATTGATCCTTTGAACAGCCCAGGTATGAAGGTAACCTAAGAATGTTCTTGAGCATATTAATGACAGTGAAATACCCAGTGTGCACATAACACTGCAGAGAAACACTAAGACAAGAGTACATTTTAACATTAGATGACTTTTTGCCTGTAAGTACAAAACTTTTCTGTGTTCAATAATGATCTGATTTGATAATGCCTTTACAGGTGAAAAGTCTTACAATACACAGAAACTGAACTTAGGATCATTTAATTGTGAGCCATCTGTATTACCCAGTGAATTTTAGTTATCTGCATGTTTTTTGTTTGCTTTTGCATGGAATTGATATCTTTTGGTGTGCTGGTAATTAGCATCGTTCACAGATTACAAAGCATTGGCAGTGACTGCTTTTTGCCTTGACAGAGCTTGTTGGGAATTCACTTTATCCTTTTTTTCCTGGTTTGGCTTCTCCCCATTCTGATCAAGCTTTAGAAATTTACTAGCTGATTGATTTTTTTGTGATTCCTTGGTGGCCAGCTCAACCATGGTGTCTTGGCCTGGGTCATTGTCTGAACCCATTCAGTTTACAAGGTTCCACCTTTCACAGTGGATCGGGACAATGTGTTTTAATTTATGTCTTGCCTCAAGTAGATATATTGTCTTTGTGTTTAAGTTGCATGATTGATTGTTCTAAAATTTAAAATGGTCACAGAACATAAGAAGCTCTGCCAGAATTCATGCAGCAAGCCAGCTGGACTAATTAGGTAGATTTAGAGTTGCCAGACTTGCCATAAATATGAAAAGGGACCACCTGACTTCAATAAACTGAAGCACCAAGGCAAAATTTTCAATAAATATTGCATAGGCTTTGGAAAAAGATATTTTCCTTGACACAATTGACTTTAAGAATAAGTGAGGATGCAAGGACACAAATATGTTATCAAAAAGTAATTTATGCAATACTGAAGATGCCAGACTGTTTGCCACAAGGGGCAAGTTAGTGTCTTTGCCAGAATATACCATTTAATCACCAAAATATGCACTTTCACAACCCACTGCACTTTCTTGTATACATATATATATAAATAAAATAAATACGAGTCAATCTTCATGACAATCCTTAAGTAGTTTGCCTTTGACAAAAGTATTGGTAAGGCAAAGTTATTATGAGGAGAGAGCACTAAGCACCTAGAAAAATATATGATGAAAATGGTTTGGGATATGAGGATAGTGTGAAGGAACAGTGCCAAACCTCTTGGTCATCAAATGCCAACCCCTACAAGAAGCTGGGTTATCACACGAGTGATCAGTCTCAGTCAATGGGCAACAAAGCTATAGGTGGGAATGACGATAGTCTTTGTACTGGAGAACAACTTTGTGTTTTTCGTAATTGTCATAGAAGTCTTATTGATATATAAGAGTGAGTAAGTCTGTCAGCCTATTCCTGATACTAGAGTTCAGTAACATGCATGACAAAGTTGATTTCAATGTGATATTAGAGCCTGCAGAATGCAGGTTAAAATGCAACTTTGAATCATCTATAAGAGCACCTTCACAAGTGGTGCAAATACAAATATTGAGTCTACTTTGCTTGCTAACACACACATCATCAAAAGTTACCTTGTCTGATTTAATATACTGATAATTGGGTTAATAACAATGATGTTACCAATATATGGTTATGTTTTGACACATGACATTTAAGGGGGTAGTTGTCACAGATTTGATCACACTTGGTGACACACAGGATGTCACCACCACAGTAATGGTAGAAGTAGAAGTGAAATGATCATCAAAATGGTCACGGGGCAGTGCTGTCAATATTCAGAGGTACAGTATTGAGCAGATAGCCGATAGAAGAGTGTCCACAGGGATAGTCAGAGGCACAAACAAAGGTTGAGGTCCACCACAGAAGCAGCAACCAGACCACAAGCAAGCTCCTCCCGATACAAAGGAGAAGCAGAACTTCTGGAGGATGATGAGCCATGGATACCCAGCAGATTAGTTTCAGAGGGTGGTGATGGAGAGTTTTACATAAAACAACAAAATAAGAATTTCACTACCCCCTACATTCCCATCAACTATAGAGCCCAATATGGGGATCAGAGACAAAACAAGCAGCCCTCAGGAAGTATATTCATGGGTCATCATCAACAAGTCTAATGGCACACCAGGGACCAATACGGGTGCTGACCCCTGCAGCTCGACTATAGCCCAGCTGGCGTTAAAATGTCTTCTACTCAATCCCCCACCTCTATCAGGAGTTGGATGGGACCTCCCAAGGTTGTGATTTTTGTCTCCTTCCTCACCTTAAGTCAGAAGAGGAGCGTCATAAGTCATTTAACGACCCCTCAGATCACCAAGACACTCAAGTGCCCAATGCCATTTTAAAGCACCAGTCATGAAGGGGGTATTTATCAGTAGAGCCTTCCTAAAATATTCATATATAAACAACTTTCAAAGCTTGTCCAATTTATTAAATTTAAACATGACTAGTTATTATGTAAACTTTAATAAGCTTGATTTTTTTTTTTTAATTTATGTAAAACTGTCAAGGCTGAAGGCATTGGTATTGAGAAAAGTAATATCACTGAAATATGCCTCTAATAATTCATGCATTTTAGGATTACTGTTTTATTATTTGAGTTCTACAAAGTCATTGACTATTGTTATTTGAAAATTATGAATACGTTGCATCTATGAATTGTCAAACACATGATATCTTATAAAAACAAAAACTAAACTTTGCAGAGTTGTCTATGTAAAACGTGATATTTAAAGTGATTATCATGATATAAAGGATAAATAGGCCAAGATAATACGAATGAATTTTCCTAACAACTATACAACCAAAATAATTATGAACATGTTGAACATTTCATCAGTGAATTAAAAAAAAAAAGGCTATCTGCAACATTGCCACTATGGAGAAGATATGCATACTGTATAATGATTCCCATAGTTACGGACAGGAAGCCTAAGAATATATGTACTTTAGGCTTGTATCGAGCCTAAAGTATTGTACCCCATTCCCCAGGTAAAACTACTGACCCTTCCCAGGTTGCAACCCACACACAACAGTTGCCCAATTCCTGGTACCTATTTAATGTTAAGTGAACAGAATCATTAGGCAAAGGGAAATATGCCCAACCAATCAATCAAACCATCAAATCCTCAAATCAAATCCAGGATCCTCTAGATATTAACTCAAGCCTCATTTTGAAAATGTAGCATAGTGGTCGGCGCATTTAGTTCACAATCGAAAGATCCCAGGTTCCACCCGGTTTCATTCCCATGCAGCACGGAGACATTTGGGAACATTTCCATTCACCCGATACTGCCGTTCATCTATCAGTAAATACATACTGTACTTTAGAGTTAAGCAACTGTAGTGGAGTGGATCCTGGAAAAGGGCAGTCATTGACCTAGGGGAACTTCGATAAGTCTAACAAGTTTTGTATCCCCAACAATGGAAAACCAAGCCACAAGGAGCACAAAAGCAAAAATGGTAAATGCACATTCTCAAATATAATTCTGTACTACATTTCTCTAAACATCACATCCTAATATAAATAATTATTAAGTTATACTTGCTCTTTATTTCAAAATACTGTTCTCATATCTATAAGATAAAATTTGATCTATCCTCACAACATAGTAAAAGTAAGATGACAGACTAACATTCTTAGCAGTTTAATACATTTTACTCCTAAATACACAGTATATGCAAAACTGTACTTTAAGTTTATGCATTTTTGTAAGTAGTCTTGCACTGTCTTCAAGGGGAATGCATCTTATATAGTTAAGACTACATAATATGAAGTCGGACAGGAGAAGTTAGATTACACAGTATGAATTTAGGACAGGTGATATTAGATTACATATCCTAAATGTGGACAGATATTCTCATTGGTATATTTACACTTAATTTACGTGTATTTTAAAAACGGAAATTGGTTCAGGTGTAGATCTGGACATTAAAATGAAGGGAATAAAATAGTTTCATATGAACAAATCATATGGTGCGTCTAGGATTACCCCGGACATAGGTTCGAACCCTCATCACGGCCCTTGTGGATTTGTTCATTTGATGCATCATGCTATTGTGATTTCTGTGTGTACAGTTTCATGCATATGTACTAAAATCTAAGGAGGTGAATTCTTGATAAAAGTAAAATCTTTGCTAAATACATAAAATTGCATAAATACATAAAAAATTGCATACTAAAATTAGAGAGCAATCTTTCATAATATGAAAGCTAGCATAAAACCTTAATAATACAATACCTTAAAAAAGAAGTATGCATGTGTGTCTAGTGGGGATGACCTGTAAAATTAGACATCACTGTATTACATCATCTAAAGTACATAATCTCACTTCAACATAATATGAAAGCCCAACTACAGTATATGAAAAAATACAATAAAACCTAATAATTTGACACCTACACTCATGCACCTGCTAAAAAAGAAGTCCTATGCAGGACTTAAAATATTAATCTTTATACTCATACTGTACTGTGGATTTTTTCTGGCCTCACCATATATTACACGCATACAATTAACCATAAATGTTTGTGTAACCATCAATCTCGTCTAATGGTCAATCTGTGACTTTTGGACAAATAATCCTGTTTTAATATATTTTGTGTAAAGGGATAATGCTTCATTTTCAAGGTGTGTGAAAAAATTGCAAGATGCCATACAGTATGTTAAAAATATTGAACAGTGAGCATAGAAACTCAAGAAGTCAACAAATTAATGTTTTCTTTCTGTGTTCCTGACTGCCTGCTTATCTTTGTCTCTTTATTATCATTTTTTTTTTATATTTTAATGATGCTTTCAATACTGTAATTCTAAAATAGAACTTTTCAATAAAAAATTTGTTTATTCAGTTAAGGTTATCATCACTCGACTTCAATGATTTATATGGAAAATTATGTTCCTGGACATTAATATCTACAAATGTATTGCAATATTAATCTACAATATCTGAGATTACATGATTACAGGTCACATGAACGTGACCTGTGTCATGTCACATTCATTTCAGTCAAATACTCTCCTGAGAAATGGTCACTATGTTTAATTCTCTAATCTGAACGCATCAGGTTCTGCCTTAATACCTTATACCAATGTTACAAAAATATAGAGCCTCTAACAGTTTTCTCGAGTGACTCAATTATTGCAGCATTTGAACATTTATCTTTCAAAGCACAGAAGAGTGAATGGCTTGCCATGTGCACTCATAGTCACAACTTCTTAACATGAACACAATCTAACACAACATGAAATAAGTCTGAGCTTCAAAGATATGGCTTATCTAGCAAAATTATTACCTGTGCTTCTTTTGTGATCGGTTTTTAAAGTTGATCTATTCCTCCTGCCTGATCCAGGGCAAGAATTACCTGGTGAAAACAATGAATAGCTTAACTGATATAACAGTTATCACCAGATAAGCCTGAGTATATTTATTCTAAATGAATTTGTTATATTTTTACAGTAATAATGAAACAACTAGAAAGGGTTTTCTTAATGCTGTATAATACTGTACGTGTATATATTTGGGAAAGTGTGATGACCAGAGCGCCTTGGCTCATGTTACTTAGCTTGTGTAACATTGTAAGACTTTCACAACACTGTACAGTACTGCATGTACTTTGCTTTTCCTTATTTTTTTTAATTCAATAATATTGAAATGGTTAGGGTTGTATTAATGCTGTAGAGAAATTGTAAGGAACATTTGTGTGTGACAAAGGAGCCAACAGACTGTCCATCACCACCTCCAACAACATTACCATGCGCCTCAACTCGTGCTACCTGGGTCTACCTTTTGTATTTCTTCTAATTTATATTATATTTGCATTAATATAGTTAAACATGGTTTGACTCCTTTATGTTATGTAGAACAAAGGTATTTTAAGCTAATTTATACATATTTTTATTGTTTGGTGAAATGCTGAGTATTGATAAAAAAAATTATACCTGTACATATAATTAAGCATATATTTAGCAATCACTCAACTTTTATTTCCTTAAAATAAACTGAAACTGTCAATTAACATAAAACTGTAAATATAACAATACAGATTTTTAAGCTTTCCAATATAAAACTTTCATACCATTGCACTAAATAATCAATTAGTGGATAATACACGTTTTTACAGTAATAAAAAGGCACATTTTAAAAGGCACTATGATTAATTGAATTAAAATGACTGCAGTTAATCAAGTTAAAAAATCACAGCATAGTACAGTACTTATCAACTAAGTTAAATAGGCTAACTTTATATATTTTCTGTTGAACTTCTAATGGGTTATTATAAAGAGTAAGAGAAGAAATGACAGCATCATAAGAAAATACACACAGTGATGAACTGACTACCACATATTTAATAGCACTCTTGTAATGAATTAATGCATATGATTAAGTACAGTACTTTGTATACTGTAGGTAAAACTTTTAAAAAATAAATTTTAAAACAACATCTATACATTCACGCAAGTTCATTCATAACCATAATCACATACTAAAATTGCTGTACTTGTCTTCAGGTTTGTGGAGGTCTATTTAAAAGAGTTCATCAAATATGGATTTTTGAGTGTTTGCTAACAGAGCAGAATTACTTGTTCCTCCATTTTTTTGAGAGTCCCTCTGTGACCTTACACTTGAGTTTAATGCTTCTGATGTTTTAGCTTTATTGGCTTTTGAGTTTTTTATGGAACGCGCACCATTCTGATTGGAAACAGATGTCTTGCTTGGTATAGTTCGTTTCATACTCGTGGTGCTTGAGGGATACAGCTCTGCTTCTAAGCTATCATCAAACAAATCCTGTGAGTCCACATTAGTCACCTTAGTGTTGCCTGCTGAATGCACATCCCATATGGTCTTCTGTTTCTGTTTACATGGTGAGAGACGGGTCCGATTTTCATCGTCTGTATCCATGTCCTGGTCATCAGGATCATCTATATCAGTGTCAGAATTGTAACAGTCACTGTCACTTTTCTCACATCTAGCTTTCTTGGATGGTTGAGACGGCCCTGGATTCTCGGTAGACCTAACAAGGCATTCTGGTCTACCTACTGGATTTATGGAGAGTAATATGGCTGAAAGGTCAAGAAATAAACTGCAAACTTAAAATTAAACATATATATAATAAATTGTGATAGATTGAGTTTTAAATGAAGCTCATATATTAGCATTATTCAAATAAATTATTTGTTCTTAAAAGCTATAAGTATATATATATATCCCAATATTTGAAAAGTCAGGCATATCCTATGCCTATTTTATTTGGAGATAAAATTTTGGCTAAGGGGGATTTATGATGCTATTACCCAATGTTCCCAGATTTGTTGTGGTGTCGGTGCTGCCATCTGGTGGCATTTGAGGAGTTAAATGACATACCTTTGTGACATTATATTGTCCTTGAGTAAAATTGTATTCAATTTAGAATGTGAATTATTATGAGAATAGGTTTCACTATTTTTTATATAATAAAATGTTCTTATAGTAAGAAAAAGATGGAACTTTTATGGGACTTTGACCTCACTTTTGTCATTGCATCATATGAAGTGCGAGAGCCAATGGCGAAAGGTGAAATTATTTTTAGTTGGTAAAGCTAGCTAGCACTGTAGACTGCACTGTGGTGCAGTGTACAGTGCACAGTGTACAGTACACCAGTAGATTGACGGTTGAAAGGCAGGGCCAAAGAGCCAAAACTCACCCCTGCAAGCACAACAGGTGGTGAGTACAAAGGAACCCACACAAGAGGCCAAGTCAATTGAAAGGGAAGCATCTCGAAAGCCATTAGGCTGGAGAACAGGGCCGTGAACAAAAGCCCGCCAGAGAACAAGGGCCTCAACATCAGAGGCCCGAGACTGTTCAACACGCTTCCAGTACACATAAGGGGCATAACTGACCGACCCCTCACAGTGTTCAAGAGAGAACTTGACAAACACCTCTAAAGGATACCTGATCAATCAGGCTGTGACTCATACGTCAGGCTGTGAGCAGCCGTGTCCAACAGCCTGGTTGACCAGTCCAGCAACAAGGAAGCCTGGTCGACAACCGGGCCGCGGGGTTGCTAATTCCTGAAAACACCTTAAGGTAACCTCAAGGTAGGACAGCTTAATTCAACAGAAATCCAATTGAGAGGAGCAGCAACAACAACTCACCCAAGGACAATGGGTAGGAGCCAAGAGAGACCATCTATATTAATGCAAGATACGCCCTGCATGGCAGTAAAAGAATCACTGGAGCAGGTGGAGTGGAAGCATGGAGTATGGCGGAAGACGCAGAAACTACAGAGCAAGCCACACCAAATCCTTCGAGTGCCCAACAAGGAGGAACCAAGCAATCACCCGGAAATTTCTGAGGAACACAGCGCACAAAAACCCCACATCAGAGGCAAGACAAACAGGCAAGCATATGGGAAGGACCCACAAGCCAGCAAAGAGCCAACGAAGCCCAGCAACAAAGCCTGAGTGTCCATCAGCCAAAACAGAGAACTGAGACAGAATATTAAATTTCTTAAATAATAGCTTAAAGTTATATACAGTATACCATACATATGAAAAGTAAATGAGACTAACCTGAGCTACTTGGATGACTGGATTTTAGTTGCTGTATCCTGAGTTTCTTGGCATTGATGATGGCTGCACACTTACCATAAATTTCCTTCTCAAATTCCTCTTTTGCTATTACACTTCTTGCTGCCAAATCCATGGCATTATTTAATTCTGAAAACAGAATGCAAAATTTGGAGGTAAATTTAAAGATCAGTATTTTTCATTAACTTACGATGCCATACGAAAATAAACTCCTCTTTCAAGTGGGGTCTCTCAGTGGCTCTCTGACCTTCCCACTTGGAATCCTACAAACCTTGGGTATCACACCAGGTTCTAATAAATCAAGTGGGCCTACCAGAGAACAGGATCAGAATCTGGCCCCCCTCAACAGAAGTACAGTACTATATAGGGAAGTCTATGGATACAAAATCACCATAGTACCAATGGAAAGATCACTAGCAAGGTAGAATTTGCCACTGATATACATGGACGATATTGTGTAAACAATCCTGTTACGTTAATAATAGATAATTAATATGAAATGTTAGATGGCTAACTTAAGTTGTATTAAAAAAGCCTAATAATTACAATATAGTAATTTACAAATTTACATACTTTTAGATTTTTCTTCCACTTCAGTGGTAAGTTTTTGAATATATTTTGAATTAGTTTCCAGATCACACAGAGTTCCTTCTAGTGCTTCACTGACTGCATCCTCATATGGCACCTGTATAACATGAAACAGGTAAAAAAAGAATGTAATTGTATAACTATTTGCTGTTAAAGGTATCTATTATGATAAGAGATGGATTTTGAAATACTGTAGGCCTGATGTTTTGGAGCATAATATTTAATATGGAAAAAGAATATCACAAAGAAGGTAATTCATCATTCTTATACAGTACATGGGAAGGATAAAACCTATTTGTAGTATTCCAATTACCAAAATAGCATACGTTATAGGTAGCATGGTTCTGTCCTAAGATTAAAACAAAGTCAAATTGTCCTCACTAGCACTTTATTGCTTCCAGTGAAGAAAAATATTTATATCATATCTTGAAATGTAAACAAAATAGAGCATGGTAAAGACTTTGTAAGTAAGGAGAACAAGCATTATAGAAGTTTCAAATAAAACAGAAATGGGCATACCTTCTCAAGTTTAAATTTTCCTCTCTTTCCATACACTTTCTGTTTGGGAAAATATTGCTTCCACACTAAATATTCTTCCTGAACCTCAAATATATCCTCTTTGCTATCCTTTAGTTCATCAGTAGCCTTGTGGAAGTGTACAACAGCTTTATTCAGTTGTGACAAATACTCCTGAGGAGTCTTTTTAAGAATGTGACTCCACTTGACTACTGAGCTGTCTCCTGGAGAGAGCTGAAACAAATTATTATTGTAAGGAGCAAAGTATGTGATTAACTAAAGTTGATGACAGTAATTACCTTATGGACAACACTGAATATTGACAGGAATAATGAAATTAAAATATAATTAGAGCTTGTCGCAACCTTTTTCATATGTTATTCTGCTACTCCCATAAGTACAGTATACTTATCACCTACACATTCTTGGTATCAATGGGCAGACAGGAGATGGCAGGAGAAAAATCCACAGGGACTATAGCATCCAAACAGGACATTTTAGTTGATGGGGGTCATTAGACTTAAATCCATTCCAACCAGAATAATAGTTGCCCATGAGGTCTATACACAAGCTAAAGCCTCGCTGAGCTCAATTAATATCACTGATGAGGCCACTTATAGGAAGTACTCATTAACCTAACAACAAGTCACAATAAATTAATTCACTGTGTTGGGGGACAGGAAGCCAGAGTGTATTCATACACGTTCGGCTTTTATCAAGGTCCCCCCCCCCCAATGACGAATTACTGACCCCACGCAGGATGCAACTCCACAACAAGCTGACTAACTCTAGAGTACCTACTCACTGCTAGGTGAACAGAGGCATTATGTGAAAGGAAATGTGCCCAACCATTTCTGTTCCACCCGGAATTCGAGCCCAGAATTCTCGATTGTGTGTCGAGAATGAACCCGATTGTAATACAGGGACCCTATGTTTGTGCAAGTGTTTGCACAAGAGGTGCAAATGTTTGCACATCTCCACCCTTAATTGGTGGCAGCAACACAACCTAGCAAATTTATGTACAAACACAAATATGGGAATAAAAGAGCAGAATGGAAAGGGAATGTGTGGGAGATGAATAATAACTTGCTCAGAGGGGTGCTTTTCATAAGCTCAAAGTATATTTTCCAAGCTTAATTATTCTTTTCTATAGAAACAGAAAGAATAAAAACTTTCACACTACAGTTTAGAGGAAGTGATAAAAGTTCTCTACTGGTAACTGCTTATGGTCACAGTACCATTATAAAGGAGGCTGGTAAATTGTGTGTATATTTTGTACAGTGAAGTCTACTTTTACCTACCCAACATTCAAAATAAGCAAAATATGCTCTAACATACAGTTTTCAAGTAATCTCGCAATAAGTGCTAAGTTTTCCCCACTTTGCATGCTTTACACTCGAGTAAAGGTAGATATTTCCCAAAGCACTTCTTGACTAACCACAGCATTGTACTGTAGATGGTCTCTACAGAGTTATAGTAGCACAGGCAAAATTGTTCCAAGGCTTTATGCGGTCTTTCCTGCTTATAACTGGATTTCCAAGCAAATCATGCCAATTCATCAATAATGCTAGATCTAATATAAAGATTATCCTTCCTAGAGCATGAATTACAGTGTAAATAAAATCTGTAATCCCTTGAACTTAGAACTTTATGTTTCCACTGATCAAAGTCAGCAGAAGTTTATAGTTCATATATTAATATATGAAAATTTGTGACCAATATTGTGTTTTATGAGAATAATAAGGAAAACAATATTTTGATTGTTAAGATAAGCATGTTTACAGTATAAAAAAAAAAGTTGTGAATTTATTCCTCTCAGGTACATGTAGAATCATTGAAGATTAGGCTGACAGATCAGAAGATACCTAAGAAGCAAAACACAGTCCTGTATTAGGTGCAACCTGATGCATCCAGAGACCAGCATAGAACATTAACCCTCTTAAAATCCCCTGAGAAACTCACCCACATCAAAAAGTACCTTGTCACTCTTCATATAAAAAATCCAGATCTTAACTCTCACTATACTTATGACATGCTCTTAAAACAGGGGTGGCAGATGCTGGCTTCCACGCATGGCTGGAGAGATGGTGTCCGACATATTCAAAAGTCTGAAACATATTTACAACAACCCCCCATAATCATTGCTCTACCATAAGACTGATTATTTGTGAACATTAACCATATTACTGTATTTTCATACATACTTTATTCCCCACCCTTATAAAAAAATAAACATGTGATTGTAGTCATATTGGATACAGGTCTCTGGGGTTGCGGTATTACTTGAATACAATAAAAAGAACTATTGCTGCCCTGCTCGTATAATGTATATCATTCTAATTTATACTGTATCCAAATAGTGTAGACCAATATAAATTTGCAACGCTGTACTTAGATTATGTATAATCCTCAAGTTACTCCTGAAAAAGTGCCAAATATTTTCAAATATAGTCCATTAAAAAATGAATAAATAACACATCTGATGAACAGTTAAGTAAACTTTACGAATGCATTCTACATTATCACTTACTCTTATGATAAATTAATTTCAGATTAAATACTTCATTTTACTTTACCTTCAGTGTGAAAGAATTATTCTTCTCCACTACAATAATCTTTATTTCATTTTCGTTTCCTGCAGTGTTGTGAACTCTAGTGTACATATACGAGGTGGTGCCATCCTGGACAAGTTTCCTCAGACCCATGCTGATGCCTTGCACGACAATTTAAAATACAATTTATAATACAATATAAAAATCTTTCCCAAGACGTATATTGCATAGGTGACAGCTACACCATCTTCCAGCTATATTTCTCAAGTCTCTGTTCATGTTTTCACACACTTAATTATCACAAGTAATGCTCAAAGGTTTACTGACTAAAGTTTTGGGCAGGCTTAGGGTGTCTTCTCGGTATAACAGCAGGCGACACTGAATAAGTGGAGGACTACCCGCGGCCTGTTGCTAATGGGAGTTGTTGCGATGGTGTTATCGAGACGGTCGCTTAGTCTCCTACCTTAGTATTTACGTTTTCTTTTATGGTCGTCATATACTAATAATGTATAGGAACGCAAGAATATTTTAATTCTTAGTAAAAAATTAGTAAGGAAATAATAAGAATAAGAGAATGTATAGATCTAGCCCTTCTTAGTGCCTAGATTTAGCCCTTCTGCATGGGCGAATAGCTATTGACACGCACTTCAGACCTAATGGTATGAGATACTTTGAGCTCTGTAATTACTACATACACTCAGGAATATTGGAGATATTCTTGTGCTGTATCCAGATTTTGCTAGTGGAGGGTAATAGATCAACCTTACATTTTATGTTCTCACCTGATTTTTAGTCATAGTTTATGTATTTTTGTATTGAGGCAGGTATTTTCTCACCTGCTTCCATGTATGACTAATCATCCTGTGAGATGGGAATATTGGATGAACTTAAAGCCTGCTGATTAGTCAGAGCTAATTTGTTTTTGTATTAAGGCAGGTATTAGCTCTACTAATTCCATGTATGACTAACCATCCTGTGAGATGAGAATAATAGTTGAACCTATAGCTAGTTCTTGATCTACACTGTAATATCTCATATGGAATAGGGTAGCAGCAGATTGCTGTGCATACCTAATTTTGCTAATTAAAAAAATCAATACATATATATTTATCTTATTCAATATATATATATATATATATTTAACTTATTCAATATATATATAATATACTTAACTCATTTAATATATATATTTAACTTATTCAAGATACATAATATATTTAACTTATCAATATATATAATATATTTAACTTATTCAAGATATATATTTACCTTATTCAATATATATAAAATATTTAACTTATTCATTATATATAATATATTTAACATATTCAATGTATATAATATATTTAACTTATTCGATATCTATAATATATTTAACTTATTCAATATAATATATTTAACTTATTCAATAAATATAATATATTTAACTTATTCAATATACATAATATTGCAACGTCGATATGGTTGGACCATTTCGACATATACATTATTATCAAGTCGTGTGATTTTATCATTGTCACCTTGATAATGGGGTCGCCACTATCTTCATTTTCAGATGCGTGGGCTGGGTGTCTAATTTTCAGCCACGCTATTGCAACTTACTCTCTTAAAACTATTTGCGGTAATTAATAACATAACACATTATTTAATTGTGTTATTGTTTTAGCCATCGCCTGTGATTGCATTATTGGTTTAGTTATCTAATGTTTTCCATAAAAACGTTTCTGTACATTAATTGAAAATTTGGTTTCCCACAGGTACAATACATACATTGCTTTCCCCTTCCTTGTTGTCATTGTGGTCCTAGTGGATGGTCTTTCCCCTTCCTTGTTGTCATTGTAGCCCTAGTGGATGGTCTTTCCCCTTCCTTGTTGTCATTGTGGCCCTAGTGGATGGTCTTTCCCCTTCCTTGTTGTCATTGTAGCCCTAGTGGATGGTCTTTCCCCTTCCTTGTTGTCATTGTGGCCCTAGTGGATGGTCTTTCCCCTTCCTTGTTGTCGTCATTGTGGCCCTAGTGGATGGTCTTTCCCCTTCCTTGTTGTCATTGTGGCCCTAGTGGATGGTCTTTCCCCTTCCTTGTCATTGTAGCCCTAGTGGATGGTCTTTCCCCTTCCTTGTCATTGTAGCCCTAGTGGATGGTCTTTCCCCTTCCTTGTCATTGTAGCCCTAGTGGATGGTCTTTCCCCTTCCTTGTTGTCATTGTAGCCCTAGTGGATGGTCTTTCCCCTTCCTTATTGTCATTGTGGCCATTGTGAATGGTCTTTCCCCTTCCTTATTGCCATTGTGGCCCTAGTGGATGGTCTTTTCCCTTCCTTGTTGGCATTGTGGTAGTAGTGGATGATCTTTCCCTCTTCAGTGCTGTCATTGTGATCGTAGCGAATGGTTTGCGAAATAATGAAAAGATTTCTTAAATTATGTTATTAATTACTGTTAACTATTTCAAGATACAGTAGCTCCAATAATAACAAATTTATTAAGGCTATTAATTGGATAAATAATTTTCAACATCCTGTAAAATTAATTCAACAAATTAGTACATCTATGGCCAGTAATTCTCGGAAAGCCAATGTGGGAACACCCAGGTGTTCACAAGTTTTATCTCCTTGGTGCATAAGAGTTAGGCAACTGACACTGGTGCGGGTCGAAGAGAGCAGCCCTTGCACACTGCTATAGTCATATCACCTCAGGGAGGGAGAGAGAACAGTGCCTAACAGGGGACTAGATACGAGAAGCACAACACTCTCCCATACGAGTCACAGGAATTCGAAACATTCTTGAAAGTGTCGACGAGAAGGGGAAGCATCTACTTTTCGTAGTCCTACTAGAGATTCATCAGGCTACAAATTTTACAATTTCATGACTGCCATGATTCTGTTCACTGTCTTCTTACTCCTGAGTAAGTTACTTATTGAGCGGTGCTCAATATAATTAGAGGAGGCATAATCTACAGTATAGTTGTATAGTATATAGTATACTATACTATACTATATAGTATAGTATAGTATACGATGAAATGCGCAGTGCTATACTTGAAGAGAAACCATTGTTAACAGTTTTGTTTTCTATTTCTCGCCTCACAGCTGCTACTATATATAGTGGCCTATCACAGTCAACTGAGGCAGAGATCTTAACCAGTGCTTCAGCTGACACTCACATCCATGTCAGACCTAAACTTGGTGAGTGAATCATTATTACCATCTAGTACTTTTTACTACTGATATTATGGTGTTCATAAAGACCCCATTAAGTATATATATTCATATATGTGTCTAATAGCCTATTCAATTTGAAGCCATGCTCGACCATGCAGTGGCCATCTCCAGGATGCATACATAATTTTTCTCATGAAGTGTTTTATTATTCTTATTCTTATACATAAATGAATATTATCATATATATTATAGTTTTGTGTAAAATTATTCCAAGCTTATATGTTAGGCGTTTTGGTCTTGTAGGCAATTATTTGTATACACAGTACGTGGAAAATATTTCATCGTGTTTGTTTTGCTAGTCTAAGCTGCGACCGATACCAAAGACTCTTCCGTCAACTTTAACGTATTATATAACCATAAAAAGGTATTTTCTCTATTATACATCAATAATTAATGCATGATAAAATCATTAGGAGCTGTGAGGAGGATTCGAACGTATGTTCTGGGTACTCTCAAGTATTTTTCTCATTGATACATCACATTAATGTGATTTGTTTGTGCATTAATGTATATTATGATTTTGTGTATAATTTGGACTAGGGAGGGAGGGGTTAGGTATTTACAGTAAATGCGTGAAGCCTTAAAGATAAAGTTAGATTTGAAGATAGAGTGATGTGATTCAAAAACATGAATAGAAAGAATAGAACTTAATGAATTTGGAGTCATGAAGCACAACAGATTACGTTAAAACGTTTCTCAAAACAGTTCTTCGTTCATTTTCTATGTTCAAATATTACACCTTTCTAAATATTTTACGCAAGTACGGCAAATTCAAACGTTCAATATCAGTATATTGACTGTAGGGTTCACAATTAAATACTGATATTAAAATCTATGACAGTTTATTTTTGTACAATTGAAAACCTGACCATATTTGAAGGTATGACCCAATCAACGTGGCTGAATCCATTCCAGCCCGTACTGTAAACAGACTCAAAATCTAGGTCTAAATCTGCGGCCCAAGCTCTCTGCTTGGGCCGCAGAGCCCCCTTTCGGGTGAAAGGGGGCTGTGGCGATCTCTGTCTGGAACTCGTAGGTGCTCCGACGTCCACCTACTAGGGCTCGTGCGACTCAGACTCTGCTTCAGGAGGTTGGGGTTGTTCTTGCCCTTGCTGGGTTGGTTCTTCTCCGGCCCCGATCCCGGCGGTCTCCGGGTTTGGGGTCCCTGTGCCTTCTTTTACCAACTTCGAGGTAAACTCTGGAGCTGGAGCCTCTAGGGGCAGTTCGTTGTTGCCTTCAAACTCGTTCTGACAGTTTATGCAACGGCGCTGGAACCAATCACATTGGCGTTTGCCTTTCCATTGGAGACTTTCGGCGTCGTGGAGAGGGGGTGGAGGGGACCTCCTGCGTGGGTGACAGCTTCCCCCCCCCCGTATCAACCAACCCTGGCTTTGCGCCCTGGAGAAGCCACTCCAGACCGACAAGAGCGCAACTCCATAGTCTCCTGAGACTGATGGATGTCTACTACACTTACTCTCGGATTGCGTCGTGTCTTACACGGCTGATGTCCCCTCAGATTGCCCCGTGCCATACCAACCCATCGCCGACCACTGCATCCTCGTAGACAACTCTCTGTTTGGTAGCTGGAGTTCAATGAGAGGTATCTGTCAAGTACTTGAGGGAGACTTAGTCAGCCTTCACGACGCTAATGTCCTGAACGCAATATTCAACTACCTGCACGACGAAGGTAAGGAACTTATGTTAATATTATCACAGGCAAAGGGATACAATAATTCTGAATACTTATATGTATTAATTAAGACACTATCAATGAATATGTGTTAATAGACAAAAGAATTAGTATTTACCGTAACATGTGTTTATTTCTTAATAATTGAATCAAGTATTTTGTTATTATCTTGCATACAATCAAATGAGTTCAGGAACTGAACCAGACACTTCAATCTTGTGAAGCTACCCGACACAGTTATCAAATTTACCATCTTGCTTCTTCCCTAAGGAATGACTGACGTTAGTTACTGGGTGAAAGCCAACGACCAACTACAGGAGGGGCAGTGGGAATGGGACGAAAATACCCCTGTTCATATGAACACCCCACTGTGGGGGGACCGGATCTACCGTGGAGTTCAAGAGCCCACTGGCGAAGACGTGAAGAACTGTGCCATTCTTAACCACCAAGACGACTTCTATATGCACGACGTCAATTGCTCGGATGCATATTACCTCCTCTGCGAGGTAACTGGTAAGTAAGTTTCCGGGGAATTCTGAAGGTAAGCGTAGTATAGTACAGATTACATTGATCAGTGTCAAAAGCACTGATGCAAAATAATGCCACAAAACCATATAATACTTAAGGATACACAACATTATATAATACTTTAGGCTACATAACACCACATAATACTTTAGGCTACAGAACACTATTTAATCCTTTAGGTTACAGAACACTATATAATACGTTAGGCTATATAGCCTCACATAATACTTTAGGCTACATAACAACATGTAATACTTTAGGCTACATAACACTATATAATGCGTTAGGCTTCATAACCTTACATAATACTTTAGGCTACATAACACCATGTAATACTTTAGGCTACATAACACCATATAATACCTAAGGCTACATAACACCATATAATACCTTAGGCTACACAACACTATATAATGCTTTAGGCTGCAGTTGTGTAGCCTAAAGTATTATGATGTTATGTAGCCTAAAGTATTGTATAATGCTATGTAGCCTAAAGTATTATATAATGTTAATATTTTGTTCATTGTTATTCTTTGTCTTCATTTGCTCATAATAATATACATGTCACAGACGTGGGATTTTCGGAGAAGGGCAATAAGCAGGGTCATCGGCCGGGTTTTTTTTTCGGGGAAGTACGTTTAGGTGTGTATTCCGGTACCTTCCTCACAATTCTCTTTTTTTTCCACCAACCGTATCAGGGCGGGTACATAAGGTCCTACCATACGTAAGGGCTTACGGGCTATTCATGCCCGTACCACCTCTTGGGTGGCTTAATCTTCAATCAATAAGGGCTGTTACGGGCTATTCATGCCTGTGCCACTTCTTGGGTGGCTTAATCTTCACCAATCAATAAGGGCTGTTACGGGCTATTCATGCCTGTACCTCCTCTGAGATGGCTTAATCTTCATCAATCATCAATCACCAAAGGCTGCAGTTCAGCTCGTAAACGCCCACCCACCCTCACCAATTTCAGGATCTTCCACTTTTCCCTGCTTTTAAGGGGGTAGGCTCCGTCGGAACCCCCCATCATGTAACTCACCTTACCATTATGTTTCTTCTGGTCTTCACTTACTTCAAATCTCAACTTCCTTAGCTGGGCCTACACTCCTACGTTATTTTTATATACGCCTCCTTTTGGACAGTAATTGGAAACTCCTATTATACACTACAAGCCTACTAATTTATTGTGTCCACTGTTATTCAACGTTTGTTTCAAGTTACGATTTATGTTTATTACTAATTTCATATTGTTAAATCATGCAAACATTAGGGTATTTACTTACTACACGGTTTGTATCACACAATTATTATTGTTAGCAAGGAAAAATAAAATAAAATAAAATTTTATAAACCCCTTTTAGGCCCTTTTAGGCTCAAACCTCCGAAAACAACTTATTCTCCCATTGTATTTAGACCTATTACTTTCCAGCTTTGGGGTCTGAGCGAGCTCCTAGCAGCAGGAGTGAGAACCTCACAGGTGTCGGCGATCCGCGAGTGTCTTTACTTGGTAAGTAGTGCGGTTGTGTTCATTATCAACTCGTAATCGGGGATCACGGGTTCGATTCCTGGAGGGGACAGAATGGTTGGGCACGTTTATTTTTCACTTAATGTTTCTGCTCACAGTGAATGGGTACCCGGGAATTATACAACTGTTTTGGGGTTGCATCCTGTAGGTCAATAGTTCGACCATGGGGAAGGCCTCGCTACAAGCCTAAAGTAAATATATACAGAGACTTCTTCCTTTCCTCGACTAAACGAATTATTTACATCATTGTTGTAACACATTTCTTAAATAAACGAACTACATAATTTTTCAGTGCACTTATCTTTGTGAATTTTCCAGAAGTTTGGAAGGTTCCGGAATCGCGGAATAACCCCTCAGGCAATATAGCCAAACCAGACATTATTACGGGCTCACTATAGCCCGTGCTTCATGGAAATTTTGTTCCGAGTAGCTGAATCTAAAACAATAACAACAACCATGTATTAAATTGGTTTCACATCTATTAACTTATCCTCACACTAAATTAACATATAAACAAATAGAATAAATTGGCTAAAATTCTCATCAGCCGGTTCCTACATCTGGCAACGAACTTTACTACCACTCCGTCTTATTGGTTCGACAACCCGTCCTCAGACCAAGTCTATTCCATCCAGCTGTCGACCCCAAAGACGCATTCATAAATTTTAACATTCTATTCATTCAAACCAGGAATTTTCACAGCTAAATTGATATTATTATATATTAGCATATTGTGCATATTTTGGCAATGATTAGGTTAGGTTAGGTGTTTGAGTTCTGTGTGCGATTATTTGCATTTTTAGTACGTGGGTGAAGCATGGTTCGAACAAAAGTCGTCAGCGAAGCTTCATTGCTCTGTCCAGGCTAATATAAGGATTTTCCATGGCTTCTTCCAATCAACCGGTAATATAAGGACTTTCCTTTTCGCCTTCTAGGCTAATATAAGGACCTTCCATTGCTCCTTCCACGTTAATCGAAGCACCTAGCTTTCATTGCTTCTTCCAGACTAATATAAGCACCTTCCAGGCTAATAAAAGCACCATCCATTACTGTTGTTGTTTTAGATTTAGCTACTCAGAACAAAAGTTCCAAGTAGCACGGGCTATGGTGAGCCCGTGACTTACCTGGCACAGGAGCGAGGCTGTGTATGTGTCCATCCATTACTCCTTTCGGTCTAATATAAGGACCGTCCAGAGCGTTCATTCCTCGTTTCACGCTAATGCAAGAACCTTCCAATTATTGTATTTATTTCGCAGAATGCCCGTCGCCTTACGAGAACATCGGCGGCCATTGTCTCTTCATCGTCTCGCCCAGCAATGGGACTTGGTGGGAACAGAAACGCTTGTGCGAGCTGATACAAGGTCACATGATCAAACTAAATGATGCCAACCTTCTTGGTGCTATTTATGACACCATTGCCAATAAAGGTAAGCTGATTCTTCACAGTGTTGAGAGGAGGCGTCTAGGAACTTCCAGAAATAATGATTATTCCATCTGTATAGAACTTTTCAGTAGAGTTGTAGCTTTTCTACAAAGATTATATTATTTATTCATAGTATTGTATTAATAATTGAATATTAGTTTCCTTTATAATTAAGAAAATTAAATTAGTAAGATTTTATTAATGTGTTAGATCCAGCTTTGATTGAATAAGTTACTAGTTTTATAATTACTCATCCCAGGTGTTTAAGCTGACCAACCGCTACCACCATTCACAGTTATGTCATAACCATAAGTTTCCTGTTTTTCCCATCACCATACTTTGATTTATCCACATTTCTATTTCAGCAGTCTTGTCTCTCTCTCACCTCAATATGATTGTCAAAAACTTCTATATAACTCTCATTCCCTGGTAAACGAACTATATCATCTGCATACTGTTACGTACCCTTATAAGATACGTAAGTAAATATATTAATATGTACATTTATAATTGTATGTAAATTACAAGCATGTATATTGTATACTTATATGTTCTATGCAAATGCACATTCATGTTACAATGTTGGCGTTAGGCCCAGCGTATCGTGGGAATGATTGTTTATTTCTTTGTGTGATCAGTTTTCCCACGGGAACTAATGATTTATATGTGATCATCAGTGGGTAACAGAGTGAAATAATAATTGAGTGAACTGTATCTGGCAAATTGTCGTGGGATCGTCCGTTGCTGGGGTGTGCATGCCATTATGCTATTCTGTATGCATATTTTAATTACTATGTAAAGAAACACGTACTTTTGTTGTCTATATCAATATGTACTAATTATTCATTAAGTTAGTTTAAGATTACTCTTGTCACAATATAGTGCTCCATTGTTGAAATAATAAATATTGTAACTTTGGCAATTTATTCGCGGGGCAAGGCAATGTGTTTTTTGACTCTCATATTGTAGTTCAGTAGCTGAGCAGAAACCAGGGAGATAACACTTCTTGGAGTTAAGTCATTCTTTTGTTCTAGCCATATACATATATTAATATTGATTTAATGTCTGGAAGTTACAGTGATATTTTTAATGTGATATATATTGTGACCATATAATCATCTGTTTGCTTTTGAGATTTATTTAATATAGTATATATCTATACTTAGTGTCTTTATTCTTCAGTCCTATGAAGATTCTATTTTGTGCTCATTACTTATTAAGGGGTTATACTGGTGATTCGCTATTGAGAACAGCAGTTGTGTCGTATCCCTAGACTTATTAAAGTTTGGCTGCTGTAGGATCACGAGCCGTAACGTACGATAGGTAACACATACAATAAATTTGACATACAAATTGCTCATGTTAGGTCTATATGTCAGGTTTACTCTTTTGGAACATTCTTACATTCTATAACATTCTTACTAGGATGCTAATGTGATAGCATACGTCACTCATTACTCAATTAATTCTTACACATGAACTACAACATACATAGAAACATTCCACAACATTTAATAACACTCAGCCAACTCCATTCATGCTCACTATTCTTCAGAGTCCACAATATATATGACTGTCCAATATATCTATTTTTCAATTACATAAATCCCAAGTGCATCTTGCAATCCTTCTCACATAATTTCTCTATAAGGTTTCTCAGCCTACCACTACGGAAACCCAGTCCGTTCTCCCGCGCGTTCACGTCAATAGACTGTACTAAAATGCCCGAACCTAACCTACCCGAGGACCCCCGAACATAAAATATGACACCACGTCAATTTCTCGAGCCGCTGTTATTTTTATTGCATCAGTTTTTAGCCTTAGGCAAATTATACGTCAAAATGCGATGTAGTATTCAGGAGCACAATGTTCCTCACTGGTACATTTTTTCAGTAATTTCCTGAACAGATAACTGTCATAATAATTCACGCCTAATTTGTCTAATTCACATAGTAAACTGTTTCAATAATTTTTACTCGCTACGTTCTCATTTTTTTTTTAAGAATGCTAGTATTACTACTCTTTTTAAAGGCACTACTCCATGTTTATTTTAATCCTTTGACACTTTAAGACTATTATGTTTTTTTCTTACGTCTTACTTACGTCTTAACTGACGTCGTACTGGCGTCTTAATTCTATTCCATGACTTTTGGAAAACTATAAACACTCACTAAATTTCTTTTTCCCTGCAGGTAATCATTTCTTTACCTCATCAGTGTTACGTACCCTTATAAGATACGTAAGTGAATATATTAATATGTACATTTATAATTGTATGTAAATTACAAGCATGTATATTATTATACTTATGTTCTATACAAATGCACATTCATGTTACAGTGTTGGCGTTAGGCCCAGCGTATCGTGGGAATGATTGTTTATTTCTTTGTGTGATCAGTTTTCCCACGGGAACTAATGATTTATATGTGATCATCAGTAGGTAACAGAGTGAAATAATAATTGAGTGAACTGTATCTGGCAAATTGTCGTGGGATCGTCCGTTGCTGGGGTGTGCATGCCATTATGCTATTCTGTATGCATATTTTAATTACTATGTAAAGAACTATTACCTTTTGTTTGTGTATATCAAAATGTACTAATTATTCCTTAAGTTAGTTTAAGATTACTCTTGTCACAATGTATTGCTCCATTGTTGAAATATTAATAATTGTAACTTTGGCAATTTATTCGCGGGGCGAGGCAATCTGTTTTGATTCTCGCGTGATCTTGTTTAGTAGCTGAGCAGAAGCCAGGGAGATAACAACATTTTGGAGATAAGTCATTCTTTTGTTCTATAATAGCCATACTTATATATTATTAATTTAATGTCTGGAAGTACAGTGATATTTTTAATGTGATATATTATGACCATATAATCATCTGTTTTGCCTTTGAGATTTATTTAATATAATATTATATATGTATCTTAGTCTTTATTCTTCAGTCCTTTGAAGATTCTATTTTATGCTCAGTACCTGTCAAGGGGTTATACTGGTGATTCGCTATTGAGAACAGCAGTTGTGTCGTATCCCTAGACTTATTAAAGTTGGCTGCTGTAGGATCACGAGCCGTAACGTACGATAGGTAACAAAGAGTTATGGGGGCCTGTGCCGGGAAATATTGTCCCATTTTTAACTTAACTATGCTAATCTAACCTTGCCTTCCTAGGTACCAGTGTCAAGTGTCTCTGTGTGTTTATTAAGAACTATTCCATGTGCCAAGCAAGCCTTCCTGTGTGTCAAGTAACAACGTTTCACGATTTTGAGGTAAGTCATCCTATATATTTTGTTTGTGCAGTGAGGCCAAGCGAATTTTCAGTGTGGTGACAATTTTACAGTGAAGTGTAGTGCAGTGCCATTGTGTTTAATTATTGTTGTGAATTAAGTGCCAAGTGTTAGTAACGATGGAGGAGAAAGTTGCAGCGTTGGTGGCTCACCCAGACTTTGAAGGGATTCAGAACCTTAAAAAGACTGAGTTAATTCAAATGGCAAATCATTTGGATTTGACCGCCAGCAATAGAATGGTTAAAGCCCAAATATTGAAAGTCATTGTGACGCATTTTGTTGAGAATGGGGAGTTAGATGACGAAATTCTAGAGGAGTTAAGAGAGGAGTCGAGTGATCAGATGACGTTAAAGCGTCTTGAGTTAGAAGCTCGCCAATTAGAGCTTGAAGCTCAAAAAGAACAGAAAATATTAGAGGCTGAAGCTCGTCAAAGAGAGATTGAAGCTCAACAGCAACAGCAAATATTAGAGGCTGAAGCTCAGCAAAGGGAGCTGGAGACTAGGCGTTTAGAAATTGCGGCACAAAACCAGAGAGGTTTAATTGAGTTGCAACTTGAAGCCACAAAGAAGCAACAAGCCGAGGAACAAACTAGGCAATTAGAGATTCAACAACAAATGGCTAACACTAACTTCAGGCTTGAATCACAGCGTATGGCAGCTGGGCATGGAAATACTAGTAATGTTTCAACAAATAGTGATAATAATCCCATCAGGATGAATAAGTATATAGAGTTGCCCAAATTCAATGAGGAAGATCCTGAGGTTTTCTTTGCACATTTTAATAAAATTGCCATCAGTATGAACTGGCCAAGGGATCAGTGGGTAGCCATTATGCAGTCTCAATTCAAGGGGCGTAGTCAGGAGGTTTTCACATCCCTCCCTGACGCTCATAGTTTTGATTATGACTTTGTAAAGAAAAGCATCCTCAATGCATACCAACTAAATCCAGAGGCACACAGGCAAAAGTTCAGGAACCTAAGGAGAATCAAGGATCAAACAATAGCAGATTTTACTCGTCAGAAGACGAATTTTTGCAACAGATGGTTAAAGTCACTTGCAGTCACTGATTTTGATGCTCTAAAGAATCTTCTCATAATGGAAGAAGTATTGTCCTGTCTTCCAGACCAGTTGTCTACTTTTATGGCGGAACAAAAGAATGTAACCGATATTGATGAGCTGTCAAAGCTCGCGGATGAGCATGAGTTGCTGACTAAGGCCCCGTTTATGGCCACTTCACCTAAGTCTAGTCGTAGAGTAAATTTCAATGCTCACCGTACTCCTTATCAGTATAAGTCTCCTCCTGGTGCGACAGTTACTCCCGTGAACTCTTCTCTTACTACCCCTAAGATGGTTACTCCATTGCCAGGATCATCTAAGCCTAGTAATGCTAATTCTAAACCGGCAGTTGGTTATACCAGTGTGTCCACTGTCAAACATTGTACCCATTGTAAGAGAAGGGGGCATGTGATTTCTTCATGTTTTAGTTTGCATCCTGAACTCCGACCAACTGGTCTTATTATGAGTAAAGGAGTGCAACCTATTAATTCTTCATGTATTACAGTCAGTCCCAATTGGATGGCTGAATTCAAACCCTATATGTCCACAGGTACCTTATTATGTACTAATGGTAGACATAAGACTGTTCAATTACTCCGTGATACTGGAGCTTCACAGTCTCTTATTACCCAGAAGGTACTTGATGATGTTGACACCCGAGATCT